GCGAAACGAAGGACCCGGATGGAGTGGCGGTGAACGCGTTACTCCCCGGAGAGGACAATATTGCGTTCGTTCCCCTCCGCATACACCTGGGTCCAGAGTTTTGCAAATATCTCAGCATTATATACAGTCCTCTAAGTTTAATGATGTTGAGATATTTATAAAACTTCGAACCGCAGGTGCCTGCGTTGGGAAACGAACGCGCTATTAACCTTTCCGGATGCTAAGGTGTTTACCACCACACCATGCGGGTCCTTCGTTTCGCCTGTCTCTCAGGATGTCTCAAAAAAAAATTTCCACTTTGCTGAAATAGTCGTGAATAGAGAACATCAGTATAGAGAAAGGATTACTAGCAGTATATATAGGCACAGGTAGGACGATGGCTAATGGTGCAGTCTATCAGAAAGCACGATGCCCGCTCAACCTTCCCCAAACGCTCTTTCTCATTTCACGAGGGAACCGTCTTGCTCGTCTATCACCAAGATTTCAAGAAGAATCGACTCAGCCAATATTTTATGGCATTCATAAAGCAGGTCAAATTACCAAGCGGCGGCCAAAATAGCATGCGGAATGTCCGAAGACATTTGCGAACGGTGAATGCGAGGAAAATGAATCAAACCATGAAATGCAGGGATTGTCAGAGCAGATGTTATGAAAGGCCATGTAAAATAAATGAATAGAATAGAACAGTTCTAGAAAATACTTACATGGATAGTTCCACGGTCCGTCTTCACTGGTTGTGCAGGCCCTAGAAAATTTTCCATTGCTTCGGAAGTTTCACTGGTCTATTCATTGGGCCCAATGTGGTCCTAAGATCAGCCAAGCCAAAGTCTGCTGCAGGTCGTCACCTCCACAGGCTGTCGCCACCTTTGTGGACAAGAGGGAGATTTGCCACAGTGCGACTAGTTTGAAACCAGGATGGTGGTGGATCCTGTTATTGGTTTACTCTTAACTGGGCTTCCTGATGGAAACGCCAAACTCGTCAGCTTGGGAGACCCTGCCAGGGAGATCAATCCACTCTCTGTACATTGCAGCCCGATATGCAGGAACATCTCCCAGCCACGATGAGATGGTAAACGCCAGAAAATATTTGATAGATGTTGTTAATTTTGAGGAAGGAGGTGACTACGGGCGGTGTGAACCACTATTGATCATTCGTATTAGGTGCAGAAAAAATTAAACGTCATCTCATGTTCTCTCAAAGGATTTCACGAAACTGTTAAAAATATCATTATTTTTTCTTTAGGTTAAGCAACTGTCCTTCTACCTGGTTATCTGAGCACGAGCAAAGATAGCTTGCGTCATTCATTGTAATGGAAGATGGATTTATTTCACTTTACTGTTATCTTTTATGAAGCAGGCAGCGGAAGGCTTGTGCTGCGATAATTTAGTCTTAACAGGGCCCTTGACTTCAATGAGTCGTACTGCTTTGCGGGCACAGAAGAGTGATGATCACTCCCTGCATAGCAACTATTCCTAGAATAGTTTCTATTTTTTCTATATATATTTGTATCTTTCTACTACTGTATGTTTCATTACTAAGGATCATATCCACTGTTTCTCAAGTTGCCTAGCAAATGTCGTTGTGCGTAAATATTTCGATCCCATCCCTAGCAGCTTCGACCGCTGTAAACAGTTTTGTTATGCAAACCTATTTTTACAATCTGAACTCATTGTTTGTTATTACTGTCCAAAAGTCATCACGCGTACAATAACAAGAAGGGCATGAGGATGTTTGCGAGAGCAGTCTTCCGCCAGATGATATGTGGCTTTGAGAGGATATGGAGACGGTAGCCGACGAATGTTTTCGGTAAAGATGCTGGACCTGTGCCAAATACCGCCTTCTCCAGAAGCACATAAATGGGTTCGTTAATTGTTGTCCAGGTTCGTCGACTATCCAGGTTCACCCGTGTCGGGGTTCGCCGGCTCTTTAGTTCTGTACCGTATTGGTCTCGTATGTCACCTATGTAGGTTATCGTAGTTGTTTAGTCATACTGCACGTAGTCATTACTGTACATTAACTTCATATCATCATATCATTGTTAAATGACAGTTGCGAATTCCACATTAGTTTACCATCACCGTCACTACGTCACGCTTTCCATCAGTCCAGTGTATCCTCATCACCATCATTATCCTGATCCTCATCCTCATGTCAATGTTCATTGCCTATCAGTTGGTCTACGGTGTGTTGTCAGTGGCGGCGGCTATCCTCAAATGCGTTCTGTCTGAAACGCCATCGGTAGCATGTACCATTCCTCCCACACTGTACGCCATGCGTACAAGGCAGCTAGCTGGCCAACTTATGCTGTGTATTTGTTGAGCCGCTATAGGCATATCATTTGTCAGTCGTTATCTTTCTCGTCTATAATCTCTTAAGCAATGGTGGCACCCATCAATGCTCAAACTTCACTTTGCAGACATATCGTTATCCAAGAGCAGCCGCCTGACCGTGTTCCGCAGATATCAAATCTCGTTCGTAGTCACTTCCACCATCGATTACTATCCTCATCGATTAATGTGCAAGTGTACCCCGCCGCTCTACATACGATCCCTAGCATAGCCTACTGCATGGCTCATCTGCATCTCACTCGTCTGTTGTTCTAGCCCTCGGCATCTGAACCACGGTGCGCGCCAGTGCGGGCGCCATAGTTCGTATCCCCTTACTTGTCGTTGCTATCAAGTTGCTGCCATCATATCACTAAAGTTGTAGCAGTATTATTTACAATGCTCTTATACCTTCGTAAGCCTTACTTTAGCAGTAGGTACAGCACCTCATAGCCTTGAACTCGCCTTATTTGTGTGCCAGTAGTTCCCCGTCGATATTAGTGTTGTATTGAAGCTGCATTTATGCATATAAACGGTTCACTTACCCAAGTTTGAGGTATTGCCTAGTGACAACTACGAAAAGTCCCGCTTGGCATTTTCTCACGAAGTTGAGCATTCTGCTAAAAACTAGTGATTATTCGGTGCCGAGAATTGACTCGAAGGCCTATTTTCGATTAGCAACTGCAATACTCTTTCTCAAACACTACGGTATCCAAGAATATTCCTTGCACGGACACGTGTTAAGCTACCGAGAGATGCTGAATAACCAAGATGTATAACAGATTTTTCTTAGCATGATAGGGCCTCCAAGAACAGGGAAAAACAACCATTTCTAAAGATTCAAAAGGCTTCGGATTTGTGAGTTTACGTTTTATGTTTTTGTTTTCATCAAGAATGGTCGTGGTTTAGTTGTTTTGTTTTAGAATCCTGGGATAGCCGTATTATGACGTTCCGAAATTTTTATCACGGTAGTGTCATTTTTTTCGTGTATTCGAGAAAATAAGCTGATCCTAGATTGGTTCAATAGCAATTTCATCAAAACAGAAGATATGAATGGTAACAGCGTTACGGGTTGAAATAGCACCTCGTTCTTGTTGAACGGAACGGACATCACTACCACTGCGCTACCCACTCTATAGTGGACATTTTGGAATATTTTTTCAATAAATCAACATTTTCCATTCTTATGCAAAATGCACCAACTGTCGTCATCGGTTGATCTAAAGCATACACTACTTGAAGCACGTCACTAGGCGAATAAGAAACGGTTAGTTTTCTCAAGCGGCAAAAGGAGCGCCAAGTAAACATCGTTGTAACAACTTCTTGCTGCTTCTTCAGTTCATGCGATACCCATTCACTGAGCTGGCACTTCATTTTGTAATTCGGTTAAGATGCTGCGGAATTGTTTTTTTACTTGCTCATTTCACAGACTGGCGAAACTTTGCGCATAAATCTGCTTGAAGTCTTTAGGTGGTTCCTGTTTATGACATTGGCACGTTGCAAAACCTCCGCCTCTTACGCTCATCGAGAGATTTTTAAAACCAAAGTTGCACAGTATATTGTTGCCGTCTCTCTCCCGGAATGATAGATCGTTATTGCCAGTGATTTCCACGGATTCGTATCTATTTTTGGAACCATGAAAAAGCTGGTGAAATTTGCTTGGTTTCCACTTTCATCTAAATAGTTTAAACTGGCCACAATTTACTTCAGAATGTTTTCTAATTAAAAAGACAAGGGAAAAAATGGATCAAATTCTACATCTTAGCGTCATATTTAGTTTAGAAGCATGGCGACGTCTTTTAAAACGATAGAACCAAATTTATTCAAGGAGAAAGAAAGAGTCACAACTGCTACAAATAGAATAGTGTTTACCACGTTGAAACCACCTCCATAGCTAGCAGGAGAACCACAGTATATTCAATTTAATACGTTAGGACGGTGCAACTTAAAATATTTGTGCAACTTTGCCATATTCAGTAACCAAAATGACATGGCGCGGATTTTCAATCCATAATTCCATATGAAAATTAGGGTCTGACAAGAAAAAAACATCGTATTCATCGATTTGTCTTTAAATTTTGCAAGAAACTTCAAGTCGATTATATAACTATTAGAGAACATTTAGTTGGCCATCATTACGACCTGGTTCTGATGACATTGCCATTGTTGTGGAGCGTGTAGTGCATTGCTTAGATTTGTCCTGCAATACATTTGGGTTCGATAGTGCTCTGCAATCCCACCAGGCCTTCCATCCTTTCGGGATCTGCATATTGGTAGTAGACCTGCCTGAGAGGTTAGCAGCACTAGCAGCACTGATTCAACATATCGACAGGTCATAGCGAGTCATTGCATTGCTCGGATATGCGTTCAACCACCTCCAACGATGCTTAATAAAGTCGAATGCATGTTGCATCCTTCAGTGATTGATCAACGCCGAGACCTTTATCCTTTATCTTTTTCAATCCCGAAATTAAAGCAGGTATCTGAGAAGCCACTAGTTTATTTAGTAATTGAACGGTTTTCATATTTAGTACAGTTACAGATTCGAAATAAGTGGTGGAAGCTTAACGAAGATGCTTGATGACCCGTGAGAGCGGCAAGGTGGGCGATGGGAAGAGCGGTTTGGTGGGCGGCGGACAGTCCGGTCTCACCCAGTGTTCACATCGCACTTGGCGATGATTCGACTGCGTTCGTACGAAGCCTTCGTAATCGTCTTCGTGAGCATTCTCATTCCATTGTCCTATCAAGTGCTGAGTGACAACAACAGGAAGCTCGAATGGATTATCGGCAAATGGCGATCCGAATTTTCCGGAAAGGTGGCTGCGCATTTGCTATCGTTTTCAGGTGTTGCTAACATTATTGTGAAAATTGCTTTCGCTTTTAGAGAGGACTTTGTTTAGGTATTCTGGCCAACGGTTCCCACGATGACTTTCGGAGAAGAGTTACACATTCATGAAGCTCCTGTGGCTAAATCTGCTAATGTTCAGTTCTTGAATTTTTCGTAAGTCCCGTTGAGCCTCAAAGTTAGCTCCCGTCTTTAATCTACATTTATGTAATCAGATTTTATTGTAACAATTCTTTTTATTCATAATATCTTCGTAACTTTTGTGAATGAAGGCACCTGTTCCGTCAAGACAAAACCTGATTATGATACCAGTAGGTTTTCTTCATCGGTTTCTCGTAGTAGACAACCATGTTTTTCTTCTGTAAGACGTGCTTTCCCCTAATTCACAAAGCTATGTTGTTCTAAAGTCGTCTGCTATCATACTCCTTAGGGCAAGAGCATGGTCACACTCAACAAAGGACCATTTTCATGACGAATGGGGATATATGACAGTCGATAATAAAGGGAATGCAACATTAATGACGGCTGGAAACAATGGTAACAATTAATTATCAAACCTTTTCTTCACCACATTTTAAAAATTTCTCATCTAATGCTCTAAACCTCATTATACCTTCCAAATATGGCCTGTTTAGTCTAACAGGCTGTAATTGCTAGTAAAAACCGTGGTTAGAGAATCTTCAGGTTTTGATTTTTCACATTGCTAAAACAAATGTCGGCGTCTTACGACAACGAATACTTTTTCCTGTCGGTACACATTTATTGAAATGTGTAACGAATTTTAAGTTTAGAACTACTTTTCATCAATTCCTGCGAACATATTCCATCAATGACCTTGAAGCTTTCCTGGATGAGCTTCATCTCTTCAAAAAGCTTAAGTGTACAAAAGAAAAGTTTCAGAGCCTGTTGTGGTCACAGTTCGAAGAAGGCAAATTTCGTTAGGGGATTTCTTCGGATAACTGTAACAGATGCATGCTCAGTGATGAATAAAACCTAAATAGAGGCGCAACTTCTCAAGCGAAAATAAACTCTTAATAGGATATTGTAGCAATGGTCTCACAGAATTCTTACTCCTTTATTTTTTCTTAAATTTTATTACTCACCTAGTATTCACTTGTTGTTCCATTCTTTTCTACTCTGATGTCTTTTGGTTCTCGTATAGGACATTTGTTCGCGTGAAAACCGGCTATTGGAGATCAGGGTATGTCAGCTTCGTGATCCAGTTCCCCAATCGTAATGCGTTGTATATCACTAAGCTGTCACTATTTCGTCGTGCAACAACTATTCGAATGAAAAATAATCTTTAATCATGCTAAATAGATGACACTTATCTACTCATCTTCTTGAACTGCACATAACTTAAGCACCTGTATTGTAGGTTTTACGACCTATGAGGTTGGAGAAGTGGCGCACAACAAACTCGTTCTTACACTCAAGGATATAGGACGAATTTCGTTTTCACGTGATTTGCCCGTTGAGGATGTGAGCTATTTTAATTCAGAAACCACTGTGTAGAAATATTTGTCTTTTCTCAGAATATCTTTTCTCACTATTCCCACTTATTTCATCACCTCCAATAGTTCACCCCTTCATCGTCATCTGGGTGACGTTTATAAGTGTTAAACTGCTGTGTGAAGCGTCACTAAGGATGACAATGAGTTAACTATTTCCATCTAAAGACCTACGTAAGAGTAAATTAATGTGGTTACAAAGCGCTGTGAGCTTTTCAGAGCTGTTTTTTGAAGGTAAGTTAAGTCATACCTGAACGCTGCTCGCGTCCGTTCCATGACCCCCGCTAATGAAATGTTGTTGCCCAAAACAACGTCTTATAGAAATACTCTGTTTCGTTCCAGTTACGCCGCACCTTCATTCGGCACGATGATCGATACATGGAACAAATACTCGAAATGAGAACTGCTACACATCCAAAATCAGGCTATCTGGAACATACAAGAGTGATTTATACGAAGCAAAAACCAGAGTAAATAGATCCGTAGTCGAATCTACGGACGCAAATGAAACTAGTGAACACCACGTAGCATATCAATAATCGATAAACTAGTTAGAGTGAAGGAAAATTGGGTGGAAGGTCGTAGATAAACAGGTGCTACAAACTGACGCTGCAGTTTATTGAAAGTTAGAGCACCATCAATTCCTCGATACACCCCATATAGATTACAACCATACAATAATGGTGGTAAGAGACATGATAAAGTTCATCTGTCGTTGCGTACTAAAATTATTACTAATAGAGCTCATCAAGCAACCTCATTTAGATGAGATGTTCTACTAGTTTCTCAAACAGGCAGATATTTAACGCGGATTTAACTTCAAAAGAGTGTTGTAGTTGTCATTAGAAGAGCAAATTAGTGGTTTTAGCTGTGTGCAGATTACTCGACTATCAGTTAATAGAAACTTCAATGAAGCTGAGATTATCGCCATGATTTTTTGGCTTGTCATTGCCTGTTCAGATTGTCGATTTATAAAATCATCTCATTTGGTGAGATATTGCAACGTCAGAAAACCTTACTCAAAAGGCGAACTCGAATTATTAATATTATTATTATTATTATTATTATTATTATTACTATTATTATTATTATTATTACTATTACTGTTATCATTATCATTAATGTCACTGTTGTTTTTGTTAGTATTACTGTTATTATTATTGAAAGTTATTCCTATTAATTGTTAACCTTTTCAACCATTATTACTTGTTATTATTAATCACTATTATTTATTATTATTGTTTATTTATTCCTCCAAACGGTTTACGCCTCATCATGGCTGAGAGATATACTAGGGTGTCGATCCACGATGTACAGCGAAGGGATTTATCCCGCTGACAGTGTCTCCCAAGCTGAGAACGATTCCAGCGTTCCTATCAGGAAGCCCAGCTAAGAGTAAACCAATAACAGGATCAACCACAGTTCTGGTATCAAAGTAGTCGCATAGTGACAAATCTCCCTCTGATCCACAAGGGCCTGTAGTGGTGACGACCTGAAGAAGACTTTGAGCTTGCTAGCCTAGGGAATCCAGGGAACCGCAGTGGCTAAACCAGAAAAACTCCGAAAAAATGGACATTATGCTTGGACCGGCGCAACCAGTGAGGATGGAGCCATCTAAGCATTATTATAAATTACTACCATTATTTATTTTTATACTAAGCATCTTTTTTCATCTACTGAGTGGATTCTAGCACTTCTCACATTCGATTGATTTCCTTGCGTCCATAATCCACGAAAATCTTCCCACTTTTACGTGGGGTTTCGCCTGCTGCTTGAGGGCTTTCATTTTCATCTTGAACGTCGAAGAATGCTGGTCGAGCTAATTCCTTCCGTAGTTCTGAGATAGCCGGACTGCAGCGTTCTCAATTGGATTGCAGAGAGTAATCTTTTCCCGGACAAGTCCGGTACCAATTTTTCGATCACGGAGCGGCCAGAAGCTTGCGGACACTTGGGCAGGATCGAACTAGCATAGTGCTCATGATGATCAGCATCATTACCAATATGCTATCAGCGCCTATTATTATTATTAATCATTATTATTAGTTACTGTTGCTATTCATTATTGTTATTTATTATTAATTATTGCCATTAATTGCTATTATTACTTACTATTAACAAATATTATCATTCATTATTATTATTGATCGTTGCTATTAATTACTTCTATTATTTCTATTAATTTTTATTACTTTTGGCCATTATTATTATTAGTTATTACTATTGACATTATTAATTACTATTATTAATAATATTAATCACCATTATTGACATTATTGGTTGCTTTTGTTAAGTATTATTATTATTACTAATGTTTATTAATAATATTTTTGCTATCACGATCGTATTATTATTATTATTCATTATTATTATTATTATTGATTTCTATTATTATGATTATTATTGATTATTATTATTATGATTATTATTGATTATTATTATTATGATTATTATTGATTATTAATTATTATTATTGATTATTAATTATTATTATTGACTATTAATTATTAATTATTATTAATATTTATTATTATTATTATTTATTCTTATTATTATTTATTATTATTAAACATTATCATGATCATTATTACTATGACCTAAAGGAGGCTTGTGACGCAGTGGTTGGAGAAACACTGCAACACACACGTGGAATCTGTTCCCATGGCCCAACAAGCCTCCCATCTTTCCGAGGTCGGCAGATTCGTACCACACATGTCTGGGAGGATAGCAGCACTGGCTCGATACATCGGTATGCTATCATGAGTCATTGTAAAGGCCAGATATACATTCATTCAACTCCAAACGATGCTTGATGAAGTCGAATGCATGGCACATCCCTCAGGGATTGATGAACGCCGATAGCTTTTTTAGCCTATTACTATGATCTAACTTGACATCACATGTGCCACATTGCGTGGATTCTGGCACTTCTAGAATTCGTTTTGTTTCGGCATTCCTTTTGCCCTAATAAGTCAGGCACCAACTTCGCGAACTCGGAGGAATGAGAGGCTTGGTGGGAACAGAGCGAAGTTGAACTAGCGCCTTATTAAGTTTGGCCGTCTCAGCGACGAACGAACCTACTACTACAGTGCTACCTGCTCCTTCAAATGGTATATAACACCTTATAATCATCATTTACTCTCCAAGAGATCTGTGTCTTTCTGGTATTCGTAGTAATTTGTAATACTCTAGGAGCCTTACATGTTGCCACACATTATAAACTGTTTGGAAACTGATGAAGGATTTAAACCTATATTTTTCAAAATCAGATATCTCAAATCAGAAAAGAGCTTTATTAAGTGGCGTGACAACCATTAAAATCTAATACATTGTTTCCAAACTGGAGACAAGTTTATGTATTCCGCTTATGTAAAGCTCTGTAGTTCCAGACAGAAAAGGCACTTTCGCTCCTCGTTCTGTTTCCAAGGCATTTCTCGCAAAAGAAGTTATCGAGATAATTTTGGCAATTTTTATTTACTGCCTACTATTTTTTAATGGTAGGATATTATGTGAGATATGAATACAAAGTTGTTGAGATATTTGCAAACTCCGGACTGCTGGTGTCTGCGGTGGGGACCAAACACGTTATTACTCTTTCCGTGGGGTAAAGCGCTCACCACCACAACATGCGAGTCCTTTGTTTCGCCTCTCTCTCAGCCGTGTGAGGGGCTCGCAAGGTGTGTTGATGAAAGCGTTAGCTTCTGCAAAGGTAACAGCGTTTTCGGTCCCACACAGCAGACACTAGCTGTCCGGAGTTTTGCAAATATCTCAGCAACATTGTGGTTACCAAGATACTTGAAGAAGGGTTAGACGGTAGGCAAGTGTTTTGATGAGCAAGGTGGACAAAAGAATTTTCATGGTTCAGCTCGGCTAACTTCTGCATAGTCGGTTTTACGACGTACGGCCTCTCATTTCGTGGTGAAGGTTTTGTACTTCTCGCTGACCAGTGAAGAACGCAGCCACTACAGTTTAGGGTGCCTTTCTTCGAGTTTATATGCATGTTTTCACCGTTAGCGTTTCACTAGGATTTACGAAGCTGCATTGGATCAAAACAGTTCGCAAACCACCAAATGATCAGCATGCTTTAGCTTCCTGAAATTTCGGCTTTAGGAAATGCTGTGAAGATTCTTCGCAGTCTAACCACTAAACCGATTGTCACAGAAAATCCAATTCTTATCGAAAGTGACACAATACGGTCGAGAAACGGATTTGGAGAGGGTTACTTTTATTTTGTATTTATTTCAATTCGTACACCATCCATTCCTGAACAAGGATGAGGAACGTTATGCGCATCTTTGCTTCAAACGAACCCTTTAATTTATTCTCATAAATAGCAGAAGCACGTCTGCTACTTCCCTCATCGTCATGTTCGAATTCGCCACCACGAAATTTTTGATGCCAACGTCGCAATGTGCATTCGTTAACACATCCTTAATCCAATATCTCACGCTTCTCATTGATAAATAATAGCACAACATTTAAAAAATTCTGTCCTTAAAACGGTGTTTAACTTTCATCTGCTGCCTATTATTTTTTAATGAATTTTAATGGATAAATGAAATACAACCACAGCAATGTTGAAATGTGAGCACAACTCGGAACTCCCAGTGAGCTTCGAACCTAACAATACCATCTTTGGGGCTCACGTGTTTTCCACCGCACCACCGAGGCCCTTGCTTCACCTTTAGCTTTAGGGTAATAGTGGGTTCTAAACTCATCTGGGTTCGGAGTTTTGCAAATATCTCAGCACCATTGTGGTTGATATTCTTAAAACACACAGGGAAAGTAAAATGACAAACCACGAATTTTTTCTGAACAGTTTGGTACTAAAGATTACGCTTTTTCAGAAATGTCGCTATGCAGTTCACGATGTTAAGCAGTTTAAATTTTCAATCAGACTACTCATTGATTTCACAAGACACAATCGATTTATGAAAATACTCTGCGCTAAGGTCTGCTAGCAGTGGGGTAATGGCTTTCCTAAGCTATTTCTAGGTGACATCGTATGGCAAAGACGCGGTGTAAACTTGCTGTATTTTAGCCATTATAGTGCTCTATAGCAGACGACACTCACATTTCATTTTATTCGGACCTCTCATGTGTTTAAGCTGTTACTAAACTTTAGTTTTATTAAAACAAACACGCAAGAGTGAAAAGTGGAGAAAGTGCGGAAATAAAGTGGTCGGAGTGGAACATCTCATTTGTTAAATCAATCCTAGACTGACATATGCTCCTACTATACGGGTATGGAAATGAATACTCGAAAATCCAAGGAGCAAGAGCTTTTTAAGAATCTGGTCTGGGTGGGATTTCCTAAGTTCTTTAATACATAGAGTTGAAAGTTCTCGCTAGCACTGTGCATTGATTTTCAATTTTAAAGAAAATGATTTTTATATTCAGACTCTCTTTCAGTGGAGTTTAGAAAATTTATATTCAGCGTTCAATTGTTCAGTGGATACTTATTCAGTTCCAAATTCCATGGGGCTCAGATTGCTACTTGAGGATTCTACACTCACTGTGGATGCCGCAGAATTTTGGTTGAGCTCATTCTTCTATAGTGCTGCGATAGCTATACTGTTTCCTAAGCCTTCGCTATAAACAGTAGTCGGCCTTTGAGGATTGTAGGAAGCTTTGCTCAAGCATGTCTGGAAACAAATTCCCAACCACGGAAATATGAAAGGTTTCCTTCGCCCGGTGCGGAGGCGAAGCAACTCCACTACATCTCTAATCAATGCACCTCCCAAGCTCCAGTGAAAATTTAAGAAAGTGAATTTAGAGGACTTTATCGTCAAAACTGAAGATTTAATTTATTACCTCATTCCCCGAATATCTTCTCACTTCACCTGGTCGAAACATGTATCATACTCAGTTCGTTGTCTTTCATCCATAATCTACCAAGCTCTGCGGATTTGCGCTTAAGATCGGAGGCCACCTGAAGACTGCACCTTCTTCAAGAATATCGTGCAATGCTGAACACGTTCATTTTTATTGCAGTCCCGGGATGGCTGTAATAGTGTAATAGATCATTCCCGATTCGTCGCCAACCTTTGTGGGTTGAACAGAGCTCTTCCCTGATTTGTGGGTTTCAATTTTCCGACTCCGAAGCGATTGCAGGCTTAGTTTGACCGAAGCGGAGTCAAACCAAAACTCTTATATATCTGTAGCAACCTCAAATGTACACAATGTTTTCTTATACAATAATATATTACCAGTGGAGCAAACTAGTTGTGAATGCATTGTTTTCTTGTACAGCAATCGCGAAGTTGTTACACAGCATACATTTACTCCCATAAAAAGACGCAATACAATACAACAGTAACAGACGTTTCGGAAGTATCGCCTTATTAAGAGCCTGGAAGGCTTTACTGATATACAATCTACTAGGCCAAACGCTTCAATAACACTTACAAAAAGACGAAAAACTCTATGGTAATTACATGATCAGCAGCTTCTCGAAAAACACCGCTTTTTACGTGACTTCCAATGAGGAAGTTTAGAACAGCTGATTATAGTCGCATATGGATGACGACTGCACCATCCCACATCAGAAATCCATGCGAACATACAGGGTTAGGTCGCGTATGACCTCTGGGCATTCCTCCCTGCTATTCATTGTAGGGTTTTTGGCATTTCTCCAAAAGGCCTCAAGAAGTTTTCGCGCTGGTGTTTTGGACTCCTGTGCAAGGATATTGACTTTTACTTCAAAATCGTCTCCGCTATGCTTTTGCACCCTATGAGTGCCTAGAGGGGTACTTCGTCTTAGTTTTCGTTTGCCATTTAGGTGTTCTTTTATACGGCTATACAAAGGTCTGCCCGTTTCACCAATATATTTATCTCCGCAATCATTACAAGAGATCAGGTACATCGTACCTGAACTCATGCAATCACCGTCCCTGCCGTAAGGGCAAATTACGCAATTTGTTGTTTCACACAGACGGTCATACAGGCGGTTGTGAACTAATTGGCGACGTAGAGTAGCCGGTGGTATTTCAATTATCGCTACCGATTCCTCTAGTCTTGCCCTTCTTAAGCATCGTTTTACAGCTGCGCTTACTTCATCGCTTATAAAAGGCAATATAAACGAGACTTTCTTCTGGCGATGTGTTTCGCTTGGGCAGGTCGCTCTCCTTCTAAGCTTATCTCATAGGGTTACAATTTCGTAGCCAGTGGAGATGGTTATTTGCCGAGCCAAGTCGCGCGATTCTTCCTTTAGTTCCCTGGTAGTGCACATAGAGGTGGCTGTTCGAAACATGTTTCTCACAATCGCCCTCTTTGTGTGTGAAGGGTGGGAAGAAAGGAAATGAACAAGGATGTTCTTGTTACCTGGCTTTCGATACCACTTTGTCAGGTAACCGCTACTTGATAGGTTTATTTGGACGTCCAAAAACGGAAGCCAGTTTTCTCTCGGTTTCTCCCAGGTGAACTTTATGTACTCGGACTGCTCGTTCAATAATTCAAAGCATTTGTCCATCTCCTCCTGCGTATAGAAGACGACAAAACAATCATCTACATATCTGCAGTAGAGTAGTGGCCGGAGATCGAGAACAGGGGCTTCTACCTTAGACATAAACACAATGGCCAGGCTTGGTGCCAATCGCTGTCCCATTGCCAACCCCCTTATTTGCGCGAAATATTTCCCAGACCATCTGAAAATCGAGCAGTTTAGGCACTCCTTTAAGAGAGCCATTAGCTGCTGGATGGACAAGCCATGCATATTTATTCGTCCTCCATGTTCAAGTTCGAAGGTGGCTTGCATTGCGGAGTCATTTGACACGTTAGTGTACAGCGTTGTAACGTGGAAGGACACCATCACGTACGCGTTATTAGGAGACGCGTCACGTAGACGTTCTAGGAGCATTTGGGTGTTTGTGCGGTGGGCTGGAATGTGTTTAAGCAACTGGGTAAGTATTAGGATTAGAAACGAGGTTATCCTATCCGTCACCGCAAGTCATCGTAAAGGCCAGAAATGCATTCAATCACCTCCAACGATGCTTAAAGTGGTCGAATGCATGCGAATCCCTCAGAAATTGATCAACTCCGACAGCTTTATCCTTTATCCTCTTACCGTTTTACGAAAATCTCTCTGAGATAAGTTGACCATTTGAAGAACTCGTTGACTTCATGCCACGCAAACCAATCACCCCAGACTAATTTCTGTCCACCGCTAAAAACCTTTTTTTTTCACAGCCAGCCAGAGAAAAAGTGAGTAACTACGAGCTTCCATTGATAATTGTATTTTTTTCCGCTATAAAAGAGATGATAACATTGCCACAGTGCCTTAAAAAAGTCGGGTTTAGTATTTAGCACTTAGTCGATAGAAGCTATCTCTTGCGTTACACTTGGCCAGCAATTTATCGATTGTATTGTTATGATTAGTACTGCGTAACACGAGGTATTTGGCTTTATTTCGTCGATATGACAGGGAAAAACATTGCGAGTGAGAACGACGGAAACCGCCTTCAAGGATGGCACAAAGTCGAACAACATCGTGGTCCTACAATGATTGTTTGGCACTGTATCTTAAGCACACGTCGGCAGAGAGTAGTGACATATTTAAATGAGCATAATTTTTCATGTGTTCACTTTCTTCGGGTCCTCGTCACTACCATCTTTACTTACTACTTGGAGATTTCTTCCCCATTTGCATGGGGTATTTCTTTTTGTCGTTAATACTCTGAGTGGTGTAAGACCATAATTTCTTGATTTGCGGTCTATTTATCGAGTAGAATGTCACAGAGACTGATGGCCCCGTGGTCATTATGGCATATTCCATTGCTGGGTTTAATTACTCATGTGTGTCTGTTCATTAGAACAGGTATGTTACTGTTTACCTATCCGGAAATCAGCTTTCGATTCCTTGTGGTGTTTAGATGCTGCTCTGGCAGCAATGTCTATCGACCTGGGATCGGAATTCATCAAAATAGGACTTGTTAAGCCTGGTGTACCGATGGAAATCGTTCTTAACAAGGAAAGCCGTCGAAAAACACCGAATGTCCTCGTCATCAGGAACAATGAACGATTGTTTGCGGAAGCTGCTGCTGCCGTTGTAGGTTATTACGGATTATACGAATTCACTGATGTTCTAAGTTCCTTGAGCTTTCGACTTCAAAATAAAACCACTACTACAGGCCACCAAATATCCTAATTCCGCCTACTGGTATATTCTGTCCTTGCTAGCGAAGGAACGTGGCGATCCTGATGTTGAGCTTTATAGAACTCGATTCCCATTTGCCTCTTTTACTTTTGACGAATCAAGGAACACTGTAGTATTTCCTTCAGAGTAGGTTTTGTCTTAGTACTGATGTAATTGTTGTCATTACCATTATTAGTGTTGTTATTATTATAGTTATTGGGCGCGTATAGCGCAGTGGTCGGAGATACCCTGCAACACACAGATCGATCCTAGCGCTCATGGCCCACCAAACCTTCCATTCCTACGGGGTCGGCAAATTGGTACCAGACTTGTCTGAGAGGATGGCAGAACTGGCTCGATACATCGCTAGACCACCGCGAGTCGTGACAGAGGCCAGATATGCATTCAATCACTTCCAAACTATACATAATGATTTCGAATGCATGGCGCATCCCTCAGGGATTGATCAATGCTGAGAGCTTTATCCTTTTTTACTATTATAGTTTGTTCCTTCCCACTGTTGTGGCTCTAAGGTTGCTTGATACATGAACCTTCCATGTTGTTTCTAGTGATTTGATTCCAAGTGTTTTGCAGCAATGAAACTTACAACGTTGAAACACTTTTGGCAATGATTCTTTGGTCGGCTAAGAAGACCACTGAGGCATTTGCCGGGCAAAGAGTTAAGGTAAACTATATGGAGTTATTTTTTCCGTGAGCTAAACAAGTTTTTGGTCCTGGAATACCGAAAAACGCCTTGTTGGACTGTCATATTGTGCGAGGCAATGAATTCCATATTAAAAATTCTGGGACGGAATCAAGAATTATGATTTACTAGTTTTCTTGCGAAAAGGTAAAAGATGTAGAATGGTAGGGATTCGCCAAGCTGATGCACTAGGATAGTATGAAACTAGTATTGCGCTGGGATGGGATGAAACTGAGATGACAGTGGAATGGGATGAAATTTACCGATCTGTTGCACTGGGATGTCGTATTTGACAAATCATGTGGAATCGTTTCAGGATGTCGTGATCACTGTGCCAATTTTCTTCAACCAGGCAGAGCGTCGTGCACTGGTTGCTGCATCCAGCATTGCCGGTTTGAATTTGTTGCAAGTAGGCGCTCTAGGTTTCGTGTATTAAGCTCGTCCATTTTTTGTACAGAGTGTATCTTTAGTTAATAAACGATGGATCAGCAGCTGCGCTCAACTATGGCGTGTTTCGAAGGAAAGGGATTACGAATAAGCCTCAGACAATGATGATTTACGATATGGGTGCTTCTAAGGTATGATTTTGAAGTAGTTTGTTCTTATAATTATGTGAACTGATATAGCCCTTGAATATTTAGACCGTTGCCACAATTGTGGAATACGTTTTGGAGAAGGACAAGAGCAGTAAGATAGGAAATACTTCAAATCCTGTAGTCCGAACAATCGGCGTAGGCTACGACAGGTCTCTGGGAGGGTTCGAGATCACGTTAAGGATGGCAAAGCATCTTGAAAAGGTGAGTTAGGTGACAAACGGTGTATTATATCGTGTGATGAGTCTTCAGATTTTCCGTGAGACTACAAAGACTACAAGTGACATCACGACAAACGCCCGAAGCATGGCTAAACTGCTTAAGGAGGCTGAACGGGTTAAGCAAGTGGGCTTCTATGACATCATGATAAGCTGTTTTCATTTTTTTCGGTGTTGTTCTTTCTTGTGTTACCTGGTGATCAATTAATTCTAGGTGTTGTCTGCTAACAAATACCATTATGCGCAAATAGAGAGTCTTCATGAGGATCAGAACTTCAGGGCCAAAGTATGAATTTTGTTCCCTTGTAATAGTTTCGTTTTTTACTGTAGGTTTTAGTAACATTGTTTAGGTAACACGTGAGGAACTTGAAGAAATGATAGCCGACATGGAGCCCCGGGTTACACAACCCATAAAGCATGCTCTCATGATGGCTGAAAAATCAATTGAAGAGGTTTCTTTTTTGGCGTGCAATACAAAGTTTGTTTTGAAACAAATTCTTAAGTTTCTAACTGTTTAGATTGATCAGTTTGTTCTTATGGGTGCTGGTACACGGGTGCCAAAAGTTCTAGATTTCTTAAAGACAGTTTTAAAAGAAAAGGTTAGTAGGTTTTTTCTATAAGGTCATGTTTTCAGTTCTCGTGAGAGCTAATTTTCATTTATCACCAAATTTTTCTGTCTTCATAAATAACTTTAGGAGATCGGTCGATTCTTAAATACTGATGAAGCCATTGCTCTAGGAGCTGTTTATCAAGCCGCTGAGCTATCGAAATCATTCAAGGTCCTCCCATTTGGTGTGAACGAACTAATAATATTCCCCATACAGGTGTTCTTAATGCTTCTTGATTTGCTTAGTCCGGTGTGCTGCTGTTTTTATCCACTATATTTTCAGGTCAAATTCCTATCAAAAATTGAAAATGGCAGCCTGAAAGAAACGACTCGTCAAGTTTTCGGTTACAAATCCCACTATCCGACTAGTAATAAGATTGTTACCTTCCAGTCATACACCGATGACTTTGAGGTGAACTGTCATTCATATTGGAAATATGCTTTATCTCAATTTCAGTTATAGATTTTTCTCAGCTACGACACTTTTCGTCATCTCACTGAAGAGCAAAGAAGGTTAGGGTTTTCCGAATTATTACAGTTCATCGTTCGTCTACTGATTTTCGATGTTTAGGCAGTTTAGGCGTACTGATCTAGCACAGGTTTCTGTCCATGGACTTGGTAGCGCTGTTAAGAACAATGGTACTTGTGCAGAATGTGAAATCAAGGTAACTCGCGTTGAAAGTTATCCGATTATCAGGAAATCTTTAAATTGTGCATAGCTAAGCTCGTAGCGAATTCTTTCTATCGGAGTAAAAACTTTGAGAATATTTTTTTTGCTAATGCGTTATCAGATTAATTACTTAATCATGATGAAATTCTGAAGCCCATGATTTTTGGTCGTCTTCATATGTATATACATATGTATATGCGTATGTATATACATATATATGTATGTGTATAGGAGCGCGTGTGACGCAGTGGTCGAAGGCGTGCTGCAACACACACACGGGATCCATCCTCGCGTCCGTGGTCGACCAAGCCTTCCATCCATACGGAGTCGAAAAATTGGTACCAGACTTGTCTGAGAGGATAGCAGCACTGGCTTAATACATCGGCAGGGCACCGCGGGTCATTGTAAAACTTTATATGCATCCAGTCACCTCCATACGATGCTGAATAAAGTCGAATGCATTGCGCATCTCTCAGGGATTGATCAGCGCCAAGAGCTTTACCATTCTTATTTTACGTACATATATAGTTACTTGGTTATTTGGATGGCTCGTCTTGACTGGTTGTGTGGACCCCACATAATCACCATTTTCCGGAGATTTGCTAGTTAAGCCACTGTGGTTACCTGGATTCCCGAGGACAGCCTGACCAAAGTCTGCCCGACGTCTTCACCACGACAGGCACTCGCAGCCTTTGTGGATCAGAGGGAGATTTACCACCATGGAACTTTGATACCAGGACGGTGGTGAATCCTGGGATTGATTTACTTTTAGCTAAGCTCCACGCCGGATTCCTCAGTTTGGGAGACCCTGCCAAGGGATGAATCCCCCCGCTGTACATCGCAGTCCGACACCCAGGAACACCTCCCAGCCACGATGAGGCGGTAAACCGTTATGAGGGACGTTATGTCGCAAGAAGTCCACTTCTCAGAATGCGATCAGGGTTTGGGTCGGATTTGTTGGTTTTCAACTCCATAATGTGAAGCTGACTGTGTAATTACGCGTAGTTCTTTAACACAATATCAAACCGCTATTAATGAACTTCTGTCATTGTATTTAATTATTTGCTGTTAATAACGGTTATTCGTTCAACTTGCTTTCCAATGTTTACCCTCTACTATTCATCACTAAACATTTGATGTCGTCTTTGTAAATGTAACCATTAATTGGTCTACCAGCCAAATGCAGTGATGGAAGCATGGACTGTAATATTTCTGCTTTTCATATGCAATTTTGAGTTCGCATACACAAAATTTCCTGCTTTTCCTTCATCTTTGTCTATATGCAAGAGAATTCAAGCCAGATGCAAAATCGTGTAAAACTGTGAGTTCGAAATAGCCTTGATAAAACATGATATATTAGGACAATGAAGTTATATATATACTTGGATACCTGAATGGCCCGTCTTTACTGGTTGTGCATGCTCCAGCATATTCTCCATTTTTTGGAGATTTACTGGTTTAGCTATTATCGTTCCTTGAATTCCCGAGGTCAGCGAAGGCAATGTCTGTATATATATATATATATATATATATAATATATATATACATATGTATATATATATATATGCGTATATATGTAAGCATATATACATATTTGTTGGAGTTATTTCAGGGAGTTAAGACCACCTTTGCTATCAACTTATCAGGGATTGTGTCAGTCACCAGGTCGGATTTTGTGGTGGAGAAAAGGCCATCTGCTGCAGGTGAAGTTTAGAGCATTGTTCTTTGCTATAATTGCATACATTTGCTTTTTCCGCTCCTCTTTAGTTTTATATTTTAATTATCTTTAGGAAATTCGAATGCAGGGTTAGGTCAACACTTTCGTTTCTCCAATCCGAATGTATTTTTATTGCAGAGATTGCAGCGTATGATGAAGCATTGCAACAGTATCATCAAGCTGAGAAAGCTCGTCGAGAAAAGGAGGAAATTGATAAGAAAATGGAGCAGAAAGGGAAAGATGTGAAGGAAGGAGGAGAAGTGAATACATTGGAAGAATATTTGAAAAATACGGTACGAAAGATAGTGTATCTGGACAGGTTTATGCGGAGGAATATGATTCGAGTGCTAAAAATTCGAGCAGTATTACAACAGCTTCACTTGACAGTCAAAATTCCACAGAAACCGATGTGAAGAATGATGCAATGAAGGTGGTGGCGTTTTTTTTTAGAAGAAGACATTGGGTGGTTTCAAAACTTGTTTTGCAGCGAAATAAAAAGATACTGCTAATACCGCCGGTAGAGCCCAAGGCGAAAACGTTGAAAGTCGAACTAGACACGATCGTCAATCATAAGGATGTCAAGGATTTGACAAGTGAACAGTTAGAATCTGCTCGAAATATGTATGGCTACTAAGTAACCTATCGTAGAGTTAATTTCGACGTTTAGTACGATTGACTTCTTGGCCCAGTACTATTTATTTTTAGTTTGGCGAAATTTGAGCATGCTGAGAACGCAAAACATAAACGTGAGGAAGCTATGAATGCTCTGGAAGCATTAGTAAGCTTTTCTTTTCCAAATAGAGGTGTTGTCATGTTGATGCATTGCAGTTTTTCATCAATTTTTGGTTTATAGATGTTAACAAGTGTTAAAATATTGCACTTGGTGTGATAAAGTAGTTTTATTACTTTTTTGTGTATTTAGGTATACGATCTCTCGCTAAAAATCCAGGAGGGTGAAGTATTTGCTGAGTATCTGACATCGGAAGAGAAAGAGCAGTTAACAGAAGAGGTAAGTGTGAGATATGTGAAAAATCTTCGAACCTTCATCATTTCCGTCGTCTACTTTTCTTGTATTAGTTGAAGCGACTACGTATGTGGATGGAGGATGAGGTTGATATTAACACTTCTACTGATGATTTTATTTCAAACAAGGCAATTTTGGACAAGCTTACTGCGAGCGGACATAGGAGAAAAAATGAAAGGCTGGTAGGATAACAAGCTTGACTACTCGCCACTTGTTCTAGCCGAATTATATGAATTCAGCAGCCACAGTGTTTGTTATTTGCATTGGTCTTTGCTTTAGATGCTTCCGAAGGCGATTGAATCGCTGAACAACCTCTTAAATCATTCTCTTGCTTTTTATGATGTCGCGCTCAATATGACTACGTCTGATGATCCAGTTTTCACTACCACGGAAGTTGAGGTGTGGCCGTTTTCTAGTTTATCTAATTTGTATGGTGATATTTTACGTACGTTATGACTGTCGCAGTATTCTAGGTGTTTTACAAACTCATTACTAGTACAATTGAGTGGTGGAAGGAGAAGAATTCGTCTTATGTGGAGCAGCAAAAGCATGAGGATCCCGTGGTTACAACTGAAGAATTGGCTGCTAAGATACGTGGAGTTTCATAACACATTCCAATCGGCAACTTGATTTATTAAGAGTGTGTGAGCAGGTAACTGTAGAAGTGAAATGTCTACGACTGAGCGCTTATTACGTGTTGTTGTATTTTGTAGAGTTTTGCTGAGAATAACAACAAAATTTTTTTAAGCGTTTGCTTTCATTCCAAATTATTAATTAGTCCAAATTGTTTTAGGTAATGGACCTGGACAGAGAGCTGAAATATCTGTTGAATAAAATGAAGATCTTCAAACCGAAGAAAAAGGTTGAACATAACAGATTAGATACGTCGGGTGAGACTGAGGATTCGTCGACAACAGCTGGCAACAGAAGTGCTGATGTTGATAATGGTTTAGGTGGAGAGAAAATATCTAATGTGAGCGGTTCTAGTTGTTTCTTAAGAAAATGTGATAGAATGCGACCTTTGCTATTTCTTGGGTTTTTTCTTTAAGAGCACTTTTACGCTTCGTTGCAGTTTAAATACAGTTCATTAGCTCCGATGAAGTTAAAATCACTTTTGTGTTTTGTATATTTACAGGAAACAAAGATCGAATCTGGGACAGATGAAAAAGGGCTGGAACGTGATCCATCTGAGCTTTAGGAGTACAAAAATCTAGGAATTCTCACTAACAAATACGTAGTAATTTGCTGTCAATTTGCATGTCTTTTCCGTCACATTTTCTATCCATTTTATACATATTATATTAAACTATTCGTCTAGGGAATCCGACGTGTGGTTGTTTTCGGTTGAGAGTCATTCTTAAGTTTTGATTTTTGCTCTTTTCTTCTGTTTTAATTTTATTGTTATGAATTTCCTGGTGAGTAAATCATTGTTGAACTTCAATTGATGTCTTTTTATCAGGATTCTACAAAGAGTGTGTAAAAAATATTTGATTGAGGTAGGCGTGACCCAGACGTGTGAACAGTGGTGGAAAGTGAAGTCCTTCTGCATTGTTAATCAGTCACTGTTCTTCGTTAGACCGTCAACTTTCATTTTAATCTAGTCTCACGATCTGGAAATTACTGGTTAGCAGCGAACAATCGTGAAAAATTTATTTTAGTTGTGTCTTACACGTGTCACTTTATTTGCCACCCATGTCACACGACGTTTGCCGTCATGTCTGGACTGAGTTACGTTCCTGTGCCCCCAAAATACTGATATTTCAATCCTGTAGCCGACAGAAGCCAAAGAGCTATTTGAGACCACATTTTGGCTAAGCACAGTAGAATTAAATCTGTTATGCAACAAGGGCAATGAAGTTCCTACCGGCGTGTCCACAAGTCATATGAACGCAATCCAAAATTAACAATTTGTGGGACAGTTAAGGAAATCTTGAGTGGGTTGTGTTAAGCAGCGATGGAGCAGTATATTCGGCACTTGATGCCAGTCTTTAGCGTAATTCAGCAATTATTGCACCCCATCTTATTGTCTTTTTCATCTTCTTCGGACTGTGTTAGTATTGGTATATATTAACGGCAATTGATAAAATTGACGATTTTGCCTGCCATGACGGACGATTTTTGCAAGAGATCCAACTAAAGCAAGTTTGCCGTAAATCGGTGATTCTATGCGGGTTAACTGCTCGCTCCAATTTTTCTCACCTCAACGGAGAATCACGTAGAAGCAAACGAAAGCAAGCCAATCGTTTGTTTTCGGTATATGTTTATATATATATATATATGTCTAAATTGTTAAGCTTACACGAGGTTGATAAATAGATTTATTCGGCTAACGTTTCGACGTCTTCGTCTTCGTCAAAACCGATGACCCGAGTCGGTGGTCAACACTGCTTCGCTTCTCGATGTGGAGTAGTCGTATTCGCACCGTAATGGATCATTAGTGAAACACCACACGAATGAGGTATGCTCACACACAGCAGTGCTCTTCCATACAGGGCGGTTGTTTTCGATAAGACTATTAGTTGATAATATTTTGTTTTTTAACTGATAATCTACCATGCATCCCGTATATATATATATATATATATATATATATATATATATAAATCGTTCGGTGTCGATCAATCGCTAAGGGATGCGACATTCGTTCGACTTCATTAAGCGTCGTTAAAGGTGATTGAATACATGTATGTCCTGAACTATGGCTTACTGTGACCTACAGATGTATCAACTTAGTGCTGTGCATCTAATAGTATTGGTATATGGTTGATATCTGCTCCACGATCGGATTACCTGATAATATAATGAGCACGGGTAGGAATGACATGTTACGAAGAAAGGCATAAATGGATATGGTTGCTAAATTTCTGCTATTGGCTATACATCTAAATTTTTAAACGGTTTTCTACTTTTTTTTGGGCTGGAAGTGATGTTCATCATTGCTTAAATACCACATGCAGCCCGTATTCATTCTTCTAAATACTACTTTCATACAAGCTGAGAAAAAGTTTGAAATTTTCGCCTAAGTGCACCTTAATGCACTCTTAGCTGGATGGACTCTCCGTCTTTCTATGCCAGATAGGCTTGTAACTTCCTCGTGTTCAACTTACCCTAAACTTGGACTATTGAAGAACGTGCAATAAAGAATTCGGGAAGTGCGTGGAAGATGGACCGAATCATCTCTAACAAATAAGTAGGTAGCTGATCTCCCTCGAAAGTCAACATAACCAAGTTATAAGCTTTTTCATCCTTCCAAATCACGATTAACAATGCCTTGTAAACTTTAGTTGCGCTATACAAAGCAGTTAGAAGGCTTTACATGAAATATTTGCCCTTTTTCTTTTTCTCAAGCGAATAGAACACACAGTCTTGACGTGCGAAATAGATGTACACCTGAGACCGACTTCGGATCTTTTTTTATGTGTAATTAATGCCCAATATTAAATCCTTCAACAAAAAATTCGTAGCGAGACATCGTAGAACATATACTTACAATATTGTGACGGTAGCAGAAAGCAATATAGAGCGAGCTGCATTGTCTATTAGCAAAAACACAACCAGTTTGAATTCGAGTGACTTCGGATGTGTTTTGTACTAGTGATTTCTGCTATGAGTGCTACTACATTATGCTAGCGAATTTCTGAAATGAACTTCTTTCGTTTTTATCTTCTTCTGTCTTCCTCTACTTTTCACTCTGTACAGTACCATCGACTCCACATATGTGTTGCAGGCTCTTCGACCACTGCGCCACGCAAGTCGATGCACGCGGTCATTGCACATGCAACAAGTTGAAGAACTTCACAGTTGATCGAAACCTAACCTCTTATTGTTGAGGACGCGCCGTCTAATTTCATGAATGAGGTGCTCAAATTTGCTCATATGGGGAATTTCCGAACACGCAAAATCCATGGTTTAATGTTCTCTATAAAATTAAAGCGTAGACAAAGAGTCAAATTTCTTCTCTATTTTTTTTTAGAATTTAGTTAATGTTTGCACGAAGACCAGCACTGAACGACACTAAAGTCGATGGCAATCCTCTCGAGCAAATGCTCGCTACAGGCGCAAAGTGGTGTTGAGAAGTTTTAGGCCATCAGTGTAGTAGCCGCTCTACAAAACTTTACTTTCAATAAACTGAAATCTCTGTGAACAATTAAGTACACTTTTGGTGGAAAAATGTGGATTTTGTCGCCACACGACCAGCGGTCAGTTATTTCGGCGACTACACAGTGTCATTTCCTTTCGGAAGCTACCGAACATTGCCAGCCGACAGTTGCACACCTGTTTCGTTCACTGAATTTCTTTTCTTCTGGGTTAATCCTTGCACTTTTCGAAGTAGTTTCTTCAAAAACTTCCAGCTGTTTGACCATTACCTTCGTTTGCGTATCACTTTTTGAGAAATCTAGGTTCTTTTTCAAAAATTGAGAGAAGCATTACTTATATATATATATATATATATATATATATATAATCGTGTACAATATATGTCATATGTATTTAGACCCATATGTTTTATAAATTTGTTGCGTAGCGAAAGAGCAAAGTTTGTCCTTCCATTTCATAAAGTTCTGAACTCCTCAAGTTCTTAAAATATAAGGAAATCATCGCCGATTCCATAAAAACCAGTTTCGAGTGTTTTGCATTAGCTTGCAGTTGTTCAGCTTTTTTTATTGGATGTTATTTTTAAATTCAGGGCGCATTTTTTCAATTTCTTGATTTGGAACGACTTTCCCGTTTCAGAGTTCTAATATAAGGCCGTCGTTAATCGACAGTGACGATCGTGTCCATCTCGCCTGATATTATAAACGACAGTGGTTCTGGAGTCGAAATAGTGTTACTTGTTTCAGTGCTTTTACGTACAGTTTTTCTACTTACAATCTCTTTGTCTCATGTAACCAGAAGAACGTTGATTCTCCAAAAATCTTTCCCATTTCATTAAAAACACGCTGTAGTCGCGCAATAACTGACCGCTCTCGCGCAGACGACGAAGATTCTGAGAGGCGAAATTGCTCGCTACCAATGTACGATTGGTGCTAAGTTTTAGCTGAAGTTTGAAGCCATCAGAGCAACTGTACTGTACGAAAGAATTCTTCTAAAAGGCTGAAAATATTTAAAACAATCAAATGCTATTTTAGTGGAAAAGTGAGGTTTCTGTGGCCATTTTTTGTGGTCATCTAACAGGCGGTCAGTTATTGCGCGACTACAGCGTGTTACTTGCTTCCGAAAGCTCTCGGTTTCCGCCAGTCGACAGTTGCACACCTATTTCTGTCAATGCTTTTTATTTTTCGTATTTCTTATGTTTCTCGATTAGTTTCATCGAAATTCTTCTTTGCTTTGATCACTGTCTTTGTTTTCATGCGACTTTTTTTGTGAAGATTAGGTTTCTTTCTCAGCAAAGAAATTACTGCCGTTTTCCGAAGAACCAACTTCTAGTGTTATTTATCGATTTTTAACTACCTAACTAATTCTACCAGACATTATTTTTTAATTGAGGGCTCGTTTTCCTTAATTTTCTGGTTTCCAACGACTATCCCGTTTTAGCGTTCCCATATAAGGCCGCCGTTATCCAACAGTGGCGATTGTAACAGATCCCAGGGTGGACAATCTATTAACC